CGTTCAAATATAAGTTTATATTTCAACAGACAGGTTACCACAACGAAATGAACTAAGGGTTCTGCGATGTCTTCTAGAAATAAAGAGGGACATATGAAGTTGTGATTTATATAATCTTCAAGTATGTAATTTATTTTCTCAGTACCATTCTGTTTCATCACGACTGTTTCAAAGATTTTAAATGCACTGGTTGACGGTATACATTATATATTAAGTCTGTCACTTTGTGTCTTTACGACCTTGTCAAACTTTGTGTCCATCACAATATTGGTTATTTGTTCACAAGACCAGTTAAACATAATTGAATGTGTTCCATGGACAACTGAAAAACCAGATTGCCACTTGTCGGTTTCAGCATGATATGTTCAACATATCATTGAAAACTCAGTCTCTACTTTTAGGAGCCAGCAAATCTGACATTAGATGCTGATTGACGAAGAGTGCTCTACGTGTCTTTTATGTGATCTCGAAGTATTGCAGAAACGGCAACATATATGATTGTCCTAATTATGCATTTCTTGGAAATAAAAAGTTATTCGTTCCGTTCACTGGTTCCACCATGCAAATTACAAGGGTAAAGCAGTTAAAACACATCATACTGTAAACGTACTGATTCTGGCGCAATCAAATTCTTATTCTAAGCGTACCGCCATAATATGTACGTTTACACTTATCAAGGAGATAAAATTATTGATATGAAAAACATTTTAATATCTAACCAAGCAGCAACTCTGTGTTTAAAAGATAATAAATCAAACCGAAAATTTGAACAAACGGGCCCGTCACAATTCAAACGGATATATATAGTGTCACAGAGTGAATGGAGAGGCTCAGAGAGCATACATGACAGGTAAGCAGTAACGATATTCTATAGTGGTGAGTGGGAGAGAGCTTCTAGTTAATCCTGATGCGACAAATCGTGTGTCGATGATGTTTGCTACATTCTCAATCTTAATTCAAAATCTCAAAAAATAGGATAACTGTTACGTTTTCCTGACCAATCAATCAATTAATTATTGTTTGATTTTTGTAAACATAAAATATTTAGATACTTTAAGTCTGGTTATGTTTACATTGTTGAATGGCAGCGATCCAAACATGCAAGTTGTATGTGTATTGTAAACAGAAATTCAGTTAATTAAACGTGAAATCCGACAGACGTCAGGTGGTGCTTCAAATCATTATCAAGTGATCAAAGCAATATGCATAAAAAAATAAGAGAAAAATATCTATATGAATGGATATGTCTGATGAAGAATTTATATACAATTTCTACAGCATATTACAGGTACGTGTACTAATTGTACCGCAGTACCGAAACATTCCTAGTATTGGTAGAGAACCTATCCTGTGTTACTCTATGAATACAAAACGCAATGATGTTATCAGTAAATATGTACCTGAAAACACATTTTTCAAATTTTCAACTATCTTAGCCCTATCAAGTCAACTGAAATATTCACAGAAGACAGATTAAACTGATAATGGGACGTTTCAGGTGTTGACAGCGTTGATCCTCTATCAATCTTGCGATGAAAAGAAATAACTTCAGCAAACATGTGTTTGTATGTGTTTGTATGTGAGGTTATATTAGAGACGGTATGTATTTTAATGCATGGCATGCAAATACATGTTCAAATATATTCCATGTCGTTTTCATTATTACAATCATTGCATCTATGTTCAATGTAATCAAAATATCATTTTTTCGATGTAATTTAATGAAATACACATTAATTTCACCCTGTTAAATAATTCATTCAATACCGCAAACATTCTTACTTCTATGCAATGAAATTTCATCACTTTGTCTGTGCGTTTGGAAAATAAGCGCAACGATGAAATAGCACATCTACAACGATTGCTATCAACAAGATATTTCTAGAAATACTTTCAGCGGGAAAAGCGCAAAAGAAACTACCACTGAAATATGCATGTTCACGTAATAGGTTTGAAAAGTAAACATGCCACATTAGGTGACAAGAAATATTCATGTCTGATGACACAATGTATTTTTTCACCCCGAGTGACAAAGGTGTCCTTCATCGTATAATAATTAATCGATATATGTAAGTTGTATATTTTCCCTATTTTATATTCATTTTTTAAATTACCATTATCTGATTAATGTAAGGCTAGTTAACCTTTTCATCTAGATTCTAAGATTCCTGTCGACCAATTTTAAATGTCTTCGGTCCCCTCCTCAGTATCAATATTTTTAGGCACTAAGTATCATCGAAGAATTCTAAAGGACAACACAATAGCAGTTTACTTCATATTTATTGTTTCATTTTTGTATATATTGCAAGATATTTAGATTCTTTATGTTGGTGAAGTCTGGTTATATTCACATTGTTGAATGACAGCGATCCACACAGGCAAGTTGTATATATAATCGTAAACAGAAATTAAATTACTAATAAGTGAATCCCGACAGACGCGCCATAAGATGGCGCTTCCAATCATTATCAAGTGGTCAAAGCTAGATGGATATATATATTTGCATCGAGAAATGAAGAGAAAACAATCTATATAAATGGATATGTCTGATGAAGAAATTTTATACAATTTCTACTGTATATCACCAGTACTTACAGTAATGGAACCGCAGTACCGAAGTCAAAGCAGCGAATCACAAAGTTGTCATTTCAAAATGCATTGCAACTTAAAAAAATAAGATGAACTCCGGCTATTTGTGGAAGGATCAACTCTATTCAAATGTTATCATTTCTATTAGTGTTTTCTGTTATGCAATCCTGTGTAAACATAGACACAATGTTTTCTGGAGTCAGACCATGCGAGGTTACCATATGTGGTCCCTTATATACACAGCTTTCTAATGGCACAAGAACAGGGTTAAATCCCTGTAGACTCGTCAATGTATAACCAAGCTGTTCAATACATAACGATATATATACATCCTCAAGGTAAAAAAATGGCACGTCTTTTGATATAGTATAGACTTTTCTCATTGTAGTCATACTAGTAACGTACCCTGTTCCTGAACAGTATCCTGGGTACACCGACCTCGGGTACTGACGAAATGACGCATACCATTTAAATCTGCTATCTCGGACAGGTAACGCAACGTGTTTACAATATCCTCCAACAGAATTCTCAAGTTGTTTTTCATGATTTTTCACGCTTTCTAACAAATTCCGAACATTGACATATACGTCGTCATCAGTTTTCATCACAAATTTGGCAGAAGAACAAAACAAATTAGCCCACTTAAATCCCATTAATGTTTTTAGTGTCAGATTATTGTAGCTGTCGATGAAATCCTCTTGCACGATATCCTTATATTTAGCAAACTCTCGAGTTATATCCTGTTTCAATGGCTTGTTAGACTGGGAACCCAGCAGGAAGACGTACCTTACGTTTGATGTATTGTTTTTAGAAATGTTTAGCCATGTCCTTCGAATTACCTCTCTTTTGTGTCGATTACCAGGTGTTGTCGAGATTAAAATAACAACGTCTATGTCGGAAGTTTGTTTCACACTGCATATGTCTTTGTTGACATGAATAAAGTTAAAGTTATGCAGGAAACAGTTTGAGCAGTTATCAAGACGGGCGAGAGGGTCGAAGGTAGTTGTTGGCTCGGCACTCGTGCTCGGTGTTGTTGTTGCTGTCAAATTTGCTGTTAAAGAAGACATCGGTGTTTGTTTTTCTGATGATGACGATGGCGACGGCAACGCTGACGATTCTATCGAAGTTGTTCTTGCGTTGTTAAAATTCATGTGACCAATAAGGTTTAACTCGGTTGTATTCCTCATATTGAATAACATCCTAGAGTTATCCCTCAGTCGGGTTTTTGTGCTATGTCTTAAGAGGAGTTCCGAGTGTTTCTTCTTGTTCGTTCTATTTAACCAAATATACACCAGCACACATGCGAACAATGGTAGTATCATCTTTAGTAGATATCTCTTAGCCATGATGTGAAGTGAACTTATGATTTATGTTTAAAAGCAGTCAGCTCTAGGTTTTTCCGTCATCTACCTGAATCCGAGCATTGGTATAGAACCTATCCTGTGTTACTCTATGAATACAAAACGCAATAACGTTATCAATAAATATGTACCTGAAAACACATTTTTCAAATTTTCAACTATCTTAGCCCTATCAAGTCAACTGAAATATTCGCAGAAGACAGATTAAACTGATAAGGGGACGTTTCAGGTGTTGACAGCGTTGATCCGTTATCAACCCTGCGATGAAAATAAATTACTTTAGCAAACACGTGTTTGTGTGTGTTTGTATGTGAGGTTATATTAGAGACGGTATGTATATTAATGCATGGCATGCACATACATGTTCAAATATATTCCATGTCGTTTTCATTATTACAATCATTGCATCTATGTTCAATGTAATCAAAATATCATTTTTTCGATGTAACTTAATGAAAATACACATTAATTTCACCCTGTTTAATAATTCATTCAATACCGCAAACATTCTTACTTCTATGCAATGAAATTTCATCACTTTGTCTGTGCGTTTGGAAAATAAGCGCAATGATGAAATAGCACATCTACAATGATTGCTATCAACAAGATAATATTTTCTGGAAATACTTTCAGCGGGAAAAGCGCTAAAGAAACTACCACTGAAATATGCATGTTCACATAATAGGTTTGAAACGTAAACATGCCACATTAGGTGACAAGAAATATTCATGTCTGATGACACAATGTATTTTTCATTTGTTAAATTTTAAAATTTTCAACTATCTTAGCCCTATCAAGTCATTATCAAGTGGTTAAAGCTAGATGGATATATACATTTGCATCGAGAAATGAAGAGAAAACAATCTGCATAAATGGATATGTCTGATGAAGAAATTTTATACAATTTCTACTGTATATTACCAGTACTTACAGTAATGGAACCGCAGTACCGAAGTCAAAGCAGCGAATCACAAAGTTGTCATTTCAAAATGCTTTGCAACCAAAAAAAATAAGATAAACTCCGGCTATTTGTGGAAGGATCAACTCTATTCAAATGTTATCAATTCTAGTAGTGTTTTCTGTTATGCAATCCTGTGTAAACATAGACACCATGTTTTCTGGAGTCAGACCATGCGAGGTTACCATATATGGTCCCTTATATACACAGCTGTCTAATGGCACAAGAACAGGGTTAAATCCCTGTAGACTCGTCAGTGTATCACTAAGCTGTTCAATACATAACGATATATATACATCCTCAAGGTAAAAAAATGGCACGTCTTTTGATATAGTATAGACTTTTCTCATTGTAGTCATACTAGTAACGTACCCTGTTCCTGAACAGTATCCTGGGTACACCGACCTCGGGTACTGACGAAGTGACGCGTACCATTTAAATCTGCTATCTCGGACAGGTAACGCAACGTGTTTACAATATCCTCCAACAGAATTCTCAAGTTGTTTTTCATGATTTTTCACGCTTTCTAACAAATTCCGAACATTGACATATACGTCGTCATCAGTTTTCATCACAAATTTGGCAGAAGAACAAAACAAATTAGCCCACTTAAATCCCATTAATGTTTTTAATGTCAGATTATTGTAGCTGTCGATGAAATCCTCTTGCACGATATCCTTATATTTAGCAAACTCTCGAGTTATATCCTGTTTCAATGGCTTGTTAGACTGGGAACCCAGCAGGAAGACGTACCTTACGTTTGATGTATTGTTTTTAGAAATGTTTAGCCATGTCCTTCGAATTACCTCTCTTTTGTGTCGATTACCAGGTGTTGTCGAGATTAAAATAACAACGTCTATGTTGGAAGTTTGTTTCACACTGCATATGTCTTTGTTGACATGAATAAAGTTAAAGTTATGTAGGAAACAGTTTGAACAGTTGTCAAGACGTGCGAGAGGGTCGATGGTAGTTGTTGGCTTGGTGCTCGTGCTCGGTGTTGTTGTTGCTGTCAAAGAAGTCATCGGTGTTCGTTTTTCTGATAATGACGATGGCGACGGCAACGCTGACGATTCTATCGATGTTGTTCGTGCGTTGTTAAAATTCATGTGACCAATAAGGTTTAACTCGGTTGTATTCCTCATATTGAATAACATCCTAGAGTTATCCCTCAGTCGGGTTTTTGTGCTATGTCTTAAGAGGAGTTCCGAGTGTTTCTTCTTGTTCGTTCTATTTAACCAAATATACACCAGCACACATGCGAACAATGGTAGTATCATCTTTAGTAGATATCTCTTAGCCATGATGTGAAGTGAACTTATGATTTATGTTTAAAAGCAGTCAGCTCTAGGTTTTTCCGTAATCTACATGAATCCGAGCATTGGTATAGAACCTATCCTGTGTTACTCTATGAATACAAAACGCAATAACGTTATCAATAAATATGTACCTGAAAACACATTTTTCAAATTTTCAACTATCTTAGCCCTATCAAGTCAACTGAAATATTCGCAGAAGACAGATTAAACTGATAAGGGGACGTTTCAGGTGTTGACAGCGTTGATCCGTTATCAACCCTGCGATGAAAATAAATTACTTTAGCAAACACGTGTTTGTGTGTGTTTGTATGTGAGGTTATATTAGAGACGGTATGTATATTAATGCATGGCATGCAAATACATGTTCAAATATATTCCATGTCGTTTTCATTATTACAATCATTGCATCTATGTTCAATGTAATCAAAATATCATTTTTTCGATGTAACTTAATGAAAATACACATTAATTTCACCCTGTTTAATAATTCATTCAATACCGCAAACATTCTTACTTCTATGCAATGAAATTTCATCACTTTGTCTGTGCGTTTGGAAAATAAGCGCAATGATGAAATAGCACATCTACAATGATTGCTATCAACAAGATGATATTTTCTGGAAATACTTTCAGCGGGAAAAGCGCTAAAGAAACTACCACTGAAATATGCATGTTCACATAATAGGTTTGAAACGTAAACATGCCACATTAGGTGACAAGAAATATTCATGTCTGATGACACAATGTATTTTTCATTTGTTAAATTTTAAAATTTTCAACTATCTTAGCCCTATCAAGTCATTATCAAGTGGTTAAAGCTAGATGGATATATACATTTGCATCGAGAAATGAAGAGAAAACAATCTGCATAAATGGATATGTCTGATGAAGAAATTTTATACAATTTCTACTGTATATTACCAGTACTTACAGTAATGGAACCGCAGTACCGAAGTCAAAGCAGCGAATCACAAAGTTGTCATTTCAAAATGCTTTGCAACCAAAAAAAATAAGATAAACTCCGGCTATTTGTGGAAGGATCAACTCTATTCAAATGTTATCAATTCTAGTAGTGTTTTCTGTTATGCAATCCTGTGTAAACATAGACACCATGTTTTCTGGAGTCAGACCATGCGAGGTTACCATATATGGTCCCTTATATACACAGCTGTCTAATGGCACAAGAACAGGGTTAAATCCCTGTAGACTCGTCAGTGTATCACTAAGCTGTTCAATACATAACGATATATATACATCCTCAAGGTAAAAAAATGGCACGTCTTTTGATATAGTATAGACTTTTCTCATTGTAGTCATACTAGTAACGTACCCTGTTCCTGAACAGTATCCTGGGTACACCGACCTCGGGTACTGACGAAGTGACGCGTACCATTTAAATCTGCTATCTCGGACAGGTAACGCAACGTGTTTACAATATCCTCCAACAGAATTCTCAAGTTGTTTTTCATGATTTTTCACGCTTTCTAACAAATTCCGAACATTGACATATACGTCGTCATCAGTTTTCATCACAAATTTGGCAGAAGAACAAAACAAATTAGCCCACTTAAATCCCATTAATGTTTTTAATGTCAGATTATTGTAGCTGTCGATGAAATCCTCTTGCACGATATCCTTATATTTAGCAAACTCTCGAGTTATATCCTGTTTCAATGGCTTGTTAGACTGGGAACCCAGCAGGAAGACGTACCTTACGTTTGATGTATTGTTTTTAGAAATGTTTAGCCATGTCCTTCGAATTACCTCTCTTTTGTGTCGATTACCAGGTGTTGTCGAGATTAAAATAACAACGTCTATGTTGGAAGTTTGTTTCACACTGCATATGTCTTTGTTGACATGAATAAAGTTAAAGTTATGTAGGAAACAGTTTGAACAGTTGTCAAGACGTGCGAGAGGGTCGATGGTAGTTGTTGGCTTGGTGCTCGTGCTCGGTGTTGTTGTTGCTGTCAAAGAAGTCATCGGTGTTCGTTTTTCTGATAATGACGATGGCGACGGCAACGCTGACGATTCTATCGATGTTGTTCGTGCGTTGTTAAAATTCATGTGACCAATAAGGTTTAACTCGGTTGTATTCCTCATATTGAATAACATCCTAGAGTTATCCCTCAGTCGGGTTTTTGTGCTATGTCTTAAGAGGAGTTCCGAGTGTTTCTTCTTGTTCGTTCTATTTAACCAAATATACACCAGCACACATGCGAACAATGGTAGTATCATCTTTAGTAGATATCTCTTAGCCATGATGTGAAGTGAACTTATGATTTATGTTTAAAAGCAGTCAGCTCTAGGTTTTTCCGTAATCTACATGAATCCGAGCATTGGTATAGAACCTATCCTGTGTTACTCTATGAATACAAAACGCAATAACGTTATCAATAAATATGTACCTGAAAACACATTTTTCAAATTTTCAACTATCTTAGCCCTATCAAGTCAACTGAAATATTCACAGAAGACAGATTAAACTGATAAGGGGACGTTTCAGGTGTTGACAGCGTTGATCCTCTATCAACCCTGCGATGAAAATAAATTACTTTAGCAAACGTGTTTGTGTGTGTTTGTATGTGAGGTTATATTAGAGACGGTATGTATATTAATGCATGGCATGCAAATACATGTTCAAATATATTCCATGTCGTTTTCATTATTACAATCATTGCATCTATGTTCAATGTAATCAAAATATCATTTTTTCGATGTAACTTAATGAAAATACACATTAATTTCACCCTGTTTAATTATTAATTCAATACCGCAAACATTCTTACTTCTGTGCAATGAAATGTCATCACTTTGTCTGTGCGTTTGGAAAATAAGCGCAATGATGAAATAGCACATCTACAATGATTGATATCAACAAGATGATATTTTCTAGAAATACTTTCAGCGGGAAAAACGCTAAAGAAACTACCACTGAAATATGCATGTTCACATAATAGGTTTGAAACGTAAACATGCCACATTAGGTGACAAGAAATATTCATGTCTGATGACACAATGTATTTTTCATTTGTTAAATTTTAAAATTTTCAACTATCTTAGCCCTATCAAGTCATTATCAAGTGGTTAAAGCTAGATGGATATATACATTTGCATCGAGAAATGAAGAGAAAACAATCTGCATAAATGGATATGTCTGATGAAGAAATTTTATACAATTTCTACTGTATATTACCAGTACTTACAGTAATGGAACCGCAGTACCGAAGTCAAAGCAGCGAATCACAAAGTTGTCATTTCAAAATGCTTTGCAACCAAAAAAAATAAGATAAACTCCGGCTATTTGTGGAAGGATCAACTCTATTCAAATGTTATCAATTCTAGTAGTGTTTTCTGTTATGCAATCCTGTGTAAACATAGACACCATGTTTTCTGGAGTCAGACCATGCGAGGTTACCATATATGGTCCCTTATATACACAGCTGTCTAATGGCACAAGAACAGGGTTAAATCCCTGTAGACTCGTCAGTGTATAACTAAGCTGTTCAATACATAACGATATATATACATCCTCAAGGTAAAAAAATGGCACGTCTTTTGATATAGTATAGACTTTTCTCATTGTAGTCATACTAGTAACGTACCCTGTTCCTGAACAGTATCCTGGGTACACCGACCTCGGGTACTGACGAAGTGACGCGTACCATTTAAATCTGCTATCTCGGACAGGTAACGCAACGTGTTTACAATATCCTCCAACAGAATTCTCAAGTTGTTTTTCATGATTTTTCACGCTTTCTAACAAATTCCGAACATTGACATATACGTCGTCATCAGTTTTCATCACAAATTTGGCAGAAGAACAAAACAAATTAGCCCACTTAAATCCCATTAATGTTTTTAATGTCAGATTATTGTAGCTGTCGATGAAATCCTCTTGCACGATATCCTTATATTTAGCAAACTCTCGAGTTATATCCTGTTTCAATGGCTTGTTAGACTGGGAACCCAGCAGGAAGACGTACCTTACGTTTGATGTATTGTTTTTAGAAATGTTTAGCCATGTCCTTCGAATTACCTCTCTTTTGTGTCGATTACCAGGTGTTGTCGAGATTAAAATAACAACGTCTATGTTGGAAGTTTGTTTCACACTGCATATGTCTTTGTTGACATGAATAAAGTTAAAGTTATGTAGGAAACAGTTTGAACAGTTGTCAAGACGTGCGAGAGGGTCGATGGTAGTTGTTGGCTTGGTGCTCGTGCTCGGTGTTGTTGTTGCTGTCAAAGAAGTCATCGGTGTTCGTTTTTCTGATAATGACGATGGCGACGGCAACGCTGACGATTCTATCGATGTTGTTCGTGCGTTGTTAAAATTCATGTGACCAATAAGGTTTAACTCGGTTGTATTCCTCATATTGAATAACATCCTAGAGTTATCCCTCAGTCGGGTTTTTGTGCTATGTCTTAAGAGGAGTTCCGAGTGTTTCTTCTTGTTCGTTCTATTTAACCAAATATACACCAGCACACATGCGAACAATGGTAGTATCATCTTTAGTAGATATCTCTTAGCCATGATGTGAAGTGAACTTATGATTTATGTTTAAAAGCAGTCAGCTCTAGGTTTTTCCGTAATCTACATGAATCCGAGCATTGGTATAGAACCTATCCTGTGTTACTCTATGAATACAAAACGCAATAACGTTATCAATAAATATGTACCTGAAAACACATTTTTCAAATTTTCAACTATCTTAGCCCTATCAAGTCAACTGAAATATTCACAGAAGACAGATTAAACTGATAAGGGGACGTTTCAGGTGTTGACAGCGTTGATCCTCTATCAACCCTGCGATGAAAATAAATTACTTTAGCAAACGTGTTTGTGTGTGTTTGTATGTGAGGTTATATTAGAGACGGTATGTATATTAATGCATGGCATGCACATACATGTTCAAATATATTCCATGTCGTTTTCATTATTACAATCATTGCATCTATGTTCAATGTAATCAAAATATCATTTTTTC